TATTATTATTATTATTATTCTTCCACTTAAGGTCCTTCAGTTGTAGGAACTCTCAAGAGCAATGTAAGGGAAGAAAATACCTAATCTATTTTTGTTGCTAGATTATGAGGGAGGGAAAAAGAAAAACCTATCTAGCTTTCACAAGCATCATTGTTTAATAACATAATTGATTTACATCCCAGTCAATTGCAAGTTCCTATGGAGGTAAAGTTCATTGTAACTAATTTATATTCTCCCAGGTAAGTACTTACAGGCCAGAGTTTAAATTTGAGATCAATTAAGGGTTTTCCCTCCTTTTTAGAAGGCTTACCTCCCACAACATTCATGTTTTTAATACTCTATATCCACAGCTTTCCATTGTTTAAACCTCTTCCAACTTTTGTCTATTTTCTTTATTTTAGACAGAATGTTTATAGCAACAAAACTGTCTACCTGGCTTTTTCTACCACTGTTGCTTTTAGGTCGTACGTGATTTGGCTGCTATGTTTTTGAATGTGATATTACTTGACAATGTTGTGCTCCAGTAACTTGAACATTGGATGGATTCTCTGCCATTGTGGGGCTCTATGCAACTTCTACTTTTATTATGATTCTGGATATCCTGCCATTCTTCCTCTTACTCTATTACACTTAGCTCTCCCTTATTGCTTTTGGGTTACAACTCTTTTCTTAAAACATTGAAGCTGAAGCAGAAGCAGAGTTCATTCACTGCTCATTTATCTATTGCTGATCAAAATCATAAAAGTGAAAGGTGAAGCATAACATACATTTTGTGCTATCTTTAAAAAAAAATCAGGATATTTCCTTGAATGTTGCATCTTATCTAATCATTTTTTAGCATATCTTCTGTCATAAATGACAGCTTGCAATTATGAGCTGAGCATTATTAAATAATGCTCTAAATTTTAGATGGGTATCTGGAAAAGAGAGAAGTGGTAGTACAGTACAGTATCACATGTATTATTTTAGAACCAAAGTTGCAATAGAGCCCATACGTACATGTGAAAAATTGTAGGGAACAGATGCAGCCCACCTCTCAGATTTATTGTTTGGGATTTGTTTTCAGGAAAAAGAAATGGAAAAGCAGAAGCTCCTGTACCAGCAAGCAAGACTACATGATCGGGGAGCTGCTGAAATGGTCCTTCAGACGATTAGTGCAAGTAAAGGTAGTCTGACACACACTCTCCCAGGTTTCCTATTTACCAGTGACCATTTCTATTAAAGTGCAAATACCAGCTTTAGAGAAACAGCTTTTGTTAGATCTATAGTTCTCTTTTGGAGAGAAAAAAATTAAAACTTTGCCTCCCATAATCCTGAGGTTGATTAGTCTTCTTCTTAGCCATTATTTAAATAGAAAGGAATGCAGAAGGTTAATTGCATGCATGGTTTGGACTTGAGATCTGAGTCAAGATCTGTGAATCCATATTTATATATGGTAGTAAGCCAAGCAGAGTAAAGAGAAGGGCTACTTCAAATGTGGAGAGATATTCATTCATGTGGTTTTTTTCCCTTCTCCTTTTCCTTTCTATCTTGTTGTAAAAGTAAAAAATACTTGCAACTTCACAAGAATAGGACTCCAGATTTTACTGTCACCTTATGGGTGACTGTATAACATGAGTTGAGGCCATTCGGTCCTTAGGGTGCTTTTTTGGGGGGAGCAGCACCCCTCCACAAAAAAATATGGAAACTCCTGAAAGCTTTCCACTTTTAGAAGTCTTCAGGAGTTGTAGTTTTACTATAAACATAATAACTATCTTAAAATATATTTTTTTTTAAAAAAGTGAGACAACTCCCATTTTGGGAGGTGGTCTGCCCTGCAATTTGTAATATAAGTATAACATTTATTTATTTGTTTATTACATTTATACCCTACCTTTCTACTAAAATACAATGCTCAAGGCAGCTTATGGAATTGGCCACTAGAACCCAGAACTTGCGCAACCCTTTTGTAAAGAGTACTAAAGTTATGACAATGAATGGGAAAAAATCAGCAACATGCTAAGTAAAGAAAAAGCCTCATAAATATTCAGTCAGTGGTTATGCAGACAAGGCCTTTTAGCTACAGCATTACAACTTGGAATGCTTTCCAGAGGGAGGGGGAACACTTTCTGCCTTATGCGTTTGTGATATAAATATTTCCTTTTTAGGTGAGATGGGACCAATGGTTGCAGCCACTCTAAAACTTGGTATTGCCATTTTGAATGGAGGAAATTCTACTGTTCAACAGGTAATTTTCCCACAAGCAATCCTGTGTCTATTCTTTAAAAATGCACTTTTTGCTGATCCCTTAGAATTTGTGATAATTAACAACTGAATGTTTTAAGTGGGTTCTCCAAGAACTATCTTTTTTCACAAAAGCAAGCCCAAACATTTGCAGAGAGCCTTGCCTGGGTTCTTCTGTTTTCAGAGATGAGATGAGTATTGGGCCTTTTCAGTTGTAAAGCCCTTCTCCCAACAAGGCTTGTATGGCATCAAGTTTGATTTATCTTTGATTTATGACATCCCAAATCTTAAGAGTTACAGTCAAAAAGTAAATCATGATTTACAGGGTTCTTGTTTGTTTGTTTTAGAAAATGCTTGACTACCTCAAGGACAAAAAGGATGTAGGCTTCTTTCAGAGTCTTGCTGGTCTTATGCAGTCTTGTAGGTAAGGTAGTAAAATGTTGTAACTATAATGATCATATCACCATTATTGCAATTCTAAATTTGGTTTCCTTATTAATATGTAAGTTAGGAAATACACTGCCACCGACAGACGAGGCAGTATCTGTTTCCCCCACAGGACTCCTTACGTATTTCTGTCTGTAAATTTAAAACAAAGTAAAAGCATAAAATGTAAAGCAAAATAATTCAATGAAGTGTTAAAACAATCCAACAAAGACTGAATATACGCAGTGCCCTTCACAAGTCACAGAATCAGGTAGATTAAAAAACAGGGAAACAGTCTGAAAGATTTCTCCTTCTTGAGTACCTGAAACCTTACTATGAGTGGAACTACATGGTCATATATGGCAGGATTTGGTCTGCTTATAAAACAGGTGAATTCAAAATATATTCTAGTGTCTGCATGACGTACAAGGCTGATTCAACTTGTTCCAGTGTATTTAATTCCACAGTTCCAAGTCCTTTGTACATTTGGCATACGTTTAAATGAAAAATGACATCCAAGGCACTTAGCCTGCAAATGGAGAGAAGGAGAGGGGAATCCCAACGTGTGTGCATGCACGGGTGTGCACATTTGAAATTCCTCACTGTTTTCCCTTGTAGGACACTTTCAAAATTATTTTGAAAGCACACATCCCCATAATTTACACAGCAGAATAGGTAAATAACAGGATCATCGCTACCTCCCTCCACTTTCCTGGCTCCAGTTTTTCACACAAAATCATAAAGGGATCACAGAGACAGGACGAGAGGAAGAAAGGACAGGCAGAGGTGAGGCCAGAGGAAGGAAGAAGGTGGGGGCTGTGGGCTGGAATGCTACTCGCATGGCAACAGATATCAATGGTGAACTCTCAAATTAATCCATGGCCCCTGTATGAGCATTTATTGCGATTTCAGATGTAGTACAGGTTATGAATCAAATCATAAAAATACTTAAATGTTTAGATTCAGCTCTCCAGTATAGCCACATCTGGCCTAGATGCCTTTAAAAGGGGATTGGACAAATTCTTGGAGGAAAAACCCATTTTATGTTACAAGCCATGATGGGGATTATAATCTCCAGGATTAAAAGGAAGGTGCCTCAGAATGCCAGATGCAGGGGAGGAGTATCAGGAGAAAGGTATCTAGTCGTCTCGTGTGCTTCCAGAGGCATCTGGTAGGGCCCACTGTGAGATACAGGAAGCTGGACTAGATGGGCCCTTGGCCTGATCCAGCAGGGCTGTTCTTATGTTCACGTTTTATATATCAGAGACAAGTGTTAAGACGTTTGTGTTTCTGCCATACTGTGTAAAATATTGGCCAATTCCTATTGATGTTTGCATAAATATCATGAAATTTACCATGACTGGTTGCAGCTAACTGATGAGATACTCAGGTATGTTTCAGTCAAATACAACTGAGATGTACCCCAGCACGTTGTCAGTTAGTTGCAATTAGCCATAGCAAGTTGTGCAGACCTTTTATAAACACTAAGAGGATTCTGGCCTTTATCTTTATTTAGAAGAGAGAGAAAAAGAATTTCTCTCTCTTCTAAATAAAAATAAAGGCCAGAAATACCTCTTCACATGCCCTTCTCAAAACCCTGTTCTGTTTAGTACTATGTAGCACACTGAGGAGAAGTTGTAGCCGAATGAAAAGAAAATAATAATGTTATTTTCATCCATGTCCTTCTGACCCCAAAGAGTCCTTAATAGTGCTCTAATGCTCCTGCTGGTTGGTGCTCTAAAACAAGTACTCTTGCTCGTGACTGCAGATTTACTGCAACATTTCTATCTTCTTCTTCCTTTGATTACTTAAATTTGCTTCTTTGGTTTATCAGTTGTAAGTGAAGTGGGGCCATCCCAAAATACAACGATCTATTATTCGTATTTGGGTACGTCTTTGTTATATATATTATTTTATGTTATTTTAAAATGAAAAAAAAAAAGAAACTACTAAGGCTCAGTGGCTTTCAGGACTTGCTGACCATTGAGGACAATTGGGCCACAAAATGTTGAAGATGTCTGCTAAAAAAGAAATGAATGTGTAGAGATGAGTTAGACTGCTTGAGTTCTTAACAGTATAGTATTCGGAAGGGCTGGATTATATAGAGTTATTGAACAGGGTGTTTCTGAACAGAAGAAAGATTAAAGGACATGCTTGCAAATAATAGCAATGAAGTGCTTAGGTCTGAGAGTGGTAGCCATCCCCTACTATTTTAAGTGATTTTTGTTATATAGCATAGAAGGAAAGATTAAATGAGTACTGAGAACTTAGGTCTCTTTGTATACATTTATAATGTCCTTGAAAGGTGCATTCACACAGTGTTTCATTGCCAAGGCTAATTTATGAGAATGCATCTGATTTCCACTGCTGTATGTGTGATCAGGCATATGACTGAGACATGCCCTTGCACCTTGTCCTGCTTTGCCTCTAGTGAGGTAAAAATACTATACATGTCTCTCTGCTTCTACATTGGTTGATTGATTTTATATATGTACTGCCCTTTTACTTTAATGCAGTATCCTGGGTGGTTTACAAAAATGAGTAAAACATCTTTGTGAGACAGATGAGGCTGAGAGAGTGTGACCCAATGGATTTCATATTTCAGTAAAGACTTGGACTTGAGACTTTGGATATTTGGTCCAACACTCTAGCCTGCTTACTCTTTCAAGACATTTGTCGAAGTAGTTCAGTACCTTATTGGTGTGATTTGGCATATCAATATCAGACTTTCTGATATGAAGAAGATATTGCAGCACATCCACTTTGATGAAATATAAACCATAGCAACTTTCTGCAGCAGTTTTTCTCTTGAGCATTAGTTCTACAAGACTTATTTGAACGGCTTTGCCAGATACTGCAAGGAAGATAATGTTTTCTTCAGCTAACACATTGCTGTGAAGTTAGTCTGATTCGTTTTGACCTACTTGTTGCATTCTAACTGAGGGATGGGAGTTTTATGCATAACGGGAGTCAAGAGTGCCCTTTTCACCCATTGCAGTAGATAAATTCTGACAGGTATTACTTGCCCTCAGCATGATCCAGAGCACAACTGATTGTTCTGAAAGGGTAAGCCCATAATAAATCTTTTGAAGTCATATCACATTTACCTTAAAATACCATGAAAAAGAAGCCCTATTCGTGTGCTACACTATCTCGCAAAGAGAACATGCTTGAAGGGAAATACCTGGCCCTGCTCCCCTCTGTTGTCCTGTTCCTCATGGCTTTAGTATTGAGTTTGAAGAGAAGGGTTCTGCTCATGTGTAGGCTCTAAATGCAAGTAAGAATGTGGATTTTTCAGGGTTCATGCTCATGTGTTCAGCCTATGTGAAATCAGGAACTTCTCCATATCTGGTATTGAATGTAGAAAAAAATGCAATGTTACAAAGGATAGGGCTGATCACTGCCCCTGAAATACATTTATTTCACTAAATTCTATGACATTAGAATGGGATTATGTTTTCTTCCTGAAGCAATACATTAAAACAAGTGCAGTATCTTACCCTACACCATTATTAATCCAAATATATGCCAATTGAACTGAGACAGGAGTATGTCCTGTTGAGGGCTGGAAGAAAACTGATTTTTGTCATTTTCACTTTTAGTGTTCTTGATTTAAATGCCTTTGAACGTCAGAACAAAGCAGAGGGCCTTGGCATGGTAACAGAAGAAGGATCAGGTATTATCATTTTGCTGAAACATGTTTTTTTCTCTTAAATCTACTGCATAAAAATGTTCTGTATCAAAGTGTTAAGTGAAGGACCAGTGAAAATTAATGCCACACCCTTATGGGATTTATAGATTATATTTTCATTGATTTGTGACTAGAAAACACTTGCCCAGAGGGATTTCTTGTGAACAAATGACAAAATGTAGAAGCATGAATTTTAAGATAAAATAAACAATCATGGAAAGGCAGGTTGAGAAATATTTTTTCTTAGAAGTATTCATAAATCTTTTTATTGAGTTGATTCATTAAAAAAATCCTGAACTTTTGATTTTGAACCAGTTTGAACCATATTTTCACCAACTCATTCTTGCTTTCTCTTTGCTGTGTTTTTGTTTGTACTGTAATCCTGCTACTGTTTTTGTCTTGAATCATTAGATTATTTTCTATATGATTTTTTTGTATCAGTTATCATTCTTTTTCAGTATCCCCACTGGTAATTTATTTCATAATCTACTTCATCTACTTCTTTTTATATTTTTATTCTTCAAAAGAATGGGGGAAACGTGGCTTCTTATTTATTAGTATATTTTATAATCTCATAATTTATATTCTGATTCTGCATGTTTGCCTGTGTCTGTTATGCCTGATAAAGCCTAGATTCTTTAAGTATTTTCATCAAGTTATAAGAACATCAACTTGACTGAAAACCATAACAGTTCATTTTCTAATGTTATTAATTTTGCATCAAATATGCTCAATTATAATGTTTATTTTTATTTATTCAAGTAGTCCCATCAGTTTCATCTTGTAAGCATAAATTCCAGTGTCAAAATTATGCAGAGTCTTGCTTGATCCATTGATTGACTCAAAATTATTCTCCAGAATGCTTTGATATTGGGGATATCATTTCTGTAAATACATATTTTTGCATAATGATTCATGATAAATTTTGAATTTTCATTTCAAGAAATCCATTTTTTAAACCTCTGAATATGTTACTTAAATGGCAAAAGCATGCCTGTATAAGTAACTAGCATGAATGATTTGTGTGTCAGGATATTTGTATGTTGCTTCATTTAAAGGCTTTTTGTAGGGTTTTGCTTCATTTTGAAATTTTGAATTCATAGGGAATTAAATTGCTAAAAGCAATGCTACGTATAATTCTAATCTGCTGAAACAAATTCTCACCTTTCTTTTTTTCCCCCCGTTTTCTTTTCTTTGAAATAAATGTCCTGTCTTTCCGTTCCTCAGTCATCACTCATGAGCGTGGTAATTATTACATAGAAATTCGTTTTCTTTTTCCTGTTACTAGCTTTGTGTCAGCACTGTACAGCTCCTGAACATCGTGTGGTTTGTTTTGCTCTCGGAATTTCAAGAATGGGCTATTTTTTTCTTATTATTATTATTACTATGATTGTATTCTCCAAACTTTCCGTTTGTATGCCAACTTTCCCCACATCTTTGTTTTTCCTCCCTTTCTCAGGATTTGCACAGTAACTGGCACACTAGATGTAAGAGCAGCAAGCTTTTTTGGTTTTTCTTTTTCTTTTCTTGCTTCATTTGGTGATATTTCTTTTTTTTAGTGGGCCAAGTATTTGTGATGATTGGATGTATACAAAATGTGTGCATATGATATTAAAACCCACCATGTGCTGTAGTCTTCCTGTAACATTTCTGTTGTGTATTTAATGTGGCTTTTATGGCTGCATTGGTTTGTGCAATCATAGGAAATCAGTGGAGGATCCAGAGCTGGGTTTGAGGGTGGGACAGAAAGGGTTTGGTTAGTTACGGAAACTGCCTTAATACAATAACAAAATAAACAGAATTAATGCATGATAAGCAAAGACATAGCTAAGTTGACATGACTTATCTGGCAAAGTTGTTGATGATAATGTATTTTGTTCAGTCACAGTCTTAGAGGATGAAATACTTCAGGAGAAACAAATTCTGGAAGACAGGTCAAGATAAACACACATTCAGAATAAAAATTTAATATTAAGCACGATTTTATCTACAATTGCTGTGATAGGGACAGAATATCTAAAGATGATGCAGCCAAAGCTGGAGTTTTAATAGGAGAGTTAAAAGTCATGTACAGTATATCTACTCAGAAATAAGTCCCACTGTTCAGTAATACTGTATGTACTTCTACTCAAAGTAGAAACCTGGAAGGAGATGTTATACTGAAGGAGATCTTCTATCAGTTGGATGCATTTTATAATTCATAGAAAGTATGACTAACTTTTGTCCTGTTAGCCTCATGCAGACTCCTAGGGGTTCAAATACAACCCCCAAGCTTCCTAGCCTCCCCCACACATCCATTTTTTTTGCGGGGGGGGGGAGAAGCAATTTGGTTATGCCATCTCAGGGGAAATCTAGATCTTCAACTGTTTTGATGGAATATATGTTTATTCAAAGTTGAGGGTTATATTGAATCTTTATGTAGTGGAATAAAGAATAAAATCCATCCTGAAGAACATATATTAACATTAAGGATATTAATTACAAGTAGTACAAGTATGTCAGATGGACATAAATCTAGATCTCATAACAGGTGGTGTGATATAGAACTCTCTCTTTACATTAGACAAAAAATTAAATAGTATAATACGAGATCAGTTTTATTGCTAGTTGTCTACTTTGCACAGTTTTTCCCCCCAGTCTTCATTCTGATTCCTTCTCACGGTGATCAATCTTGTGGCTCTTTTCCTTAACACTGGACCCCCCACTGGTAAAACATCAGTGGTTTTTTTACCAGTTTTGTATCTAACTTGTCTCTGTGATGTAATCAGTGTGGCGTTTCCTTTACTCATTATGGTTTACTTGTTATGGTTATTATTGAAAAAAGGTTCAAAACCAAAGGCATATATAAGTGTACTGGTGCAAATTTTCATTTAATTTTTGCAATCTATGGATGTCCCCATAATCATGATAATCTTGAAAGTGCATTTTCTCTCTCCTTTCCATCTTTCACCATAGCTAACAAATATTGGAACATGTTTCAAATGCATGTTTTTTATTCTCTCTTTGATGTTTGGTTTCATCATCATATAAGATCTTCCATTTTATAATTCAGAGAAGAAGATATTTAAATGTTATTATGTGTTAAGAAACTTGAAAATGTTTTAGTCCAGTTTAAATACATCCATATAACTTTTTAATAACCTAAAAATCCACACATTTACTCAAAAAATTTAGTCAGATTTGCTTACTAGTTATCATGCTGATCATTGTGTTCAGAGTAAGCAAGTGTAGAAAGTTGATGTACTCCATAGATGGAGTTTGCATGTCTCAGTAAAAGGATTTTGAAGAATTCATGTTTATTATGAATGAATCAGTGTGCTAGCCCATGTTGCTCTGTCTCTTGTGCTCGTCTTCTCATGCAGTGGGCATGACTAAGCAAAACATAGATTATGAATTGTTTATTATTATTTGTTTTCATGTGCTAATCAAGAAGTCTTAATTTTCATAAAAGTCATTAGCCATGGTTCATTATACCACGTGGATGGCTACAGTTTACTTTGCTGTTCCTGTTACCAGAAGGAGCCAAGTAAAATTTATTGAGTAGTGTGTACCAGTATGCTGCTTGTATGTGATTGGCCAGATTTTCCCCAGAACACTGCCTTATAATTACATTCATTAAAGCGCCATCTAACTTTAGCCCAATCTTATTCTGTGCAATCATTTCCATGCAATACATTACAGAGCATCATCAGTTACAGCTCCCAGCATTTCCAAAAGTCAACTCGGAAGATTTTCCCATCCCATCCAAAGTTGGTATTGGGAGCTGGTTTCAGTTTAGTGAGGAGGAGGACTGGCTACACCCTATTCTGTTGGTATATGCAGTTCCTGGAAAATACAGATTTGAAACTTGGGTTACCCAGAGCTGTTTCATTCATAAGTTAAGCTGCGTAGTGTCATCTCTAATGATATGACTGAGACATGTTTAATTTAAAATAAATTAAAAGAAAGGAATCTGCCTAGCTGGTTTGTTATTTTTCCTTTATAATATAGCTTTTCCTCATTTGATATATTGCAGTGCATATATTGCCTGCTCTGTAAATGTTTGTGGTTGTTACTGACAACCAGTTGTAGACTATATATTTGGAAAGATAATTAATATTGGTAGATATCCCTGTGGTTTAGGCATCTGGCACTGGAGCCAGAGGTTGGGACTTTGATTCCCCGCTGTGCCTCCTTGAAAGGGGCTGAGCTCAGTGATCGATAGGGCCCCCTCTAGCTCTACAATTTTAAGAAGATCATGATACATTTATATTTAAGCACTTTCAAGAGAATACAACATATACCATTTTTTTTCCTGCCAGACATCACTTCTGTTTAATTACATATCACTTGTTTAAATGCATATCACTCTCATATTGCCCCTGAAAACATTTATATGTTTTCAGTGCCATTGAAATGCAGCATGGGTACTGGCATTATTTTAGTAATGTATCATTTATAATAAATAAACAGAAATATATATGTTAATTTGTCATTGTGTTTTTAAATGATTTTCAATTTAAAAACGTGTTCATTTTAATATGATTACTCATTTGTGTTTTACTTGGATTTTCTGCATATATAACTGTTCTTCCAAATATCCAGCAAAGAATATGCAAGCTAAACAAACTACAGATTTTCAAATTGTTTATTGATTTTGGAGATTTCTGGCATATTATATTATATTATATTATATTATATTTTATATTATATTATATTATATTATATTATTATTATACCACCCTGTAGAGAGCAGGTACTCTCTGGGAGGTGTACAAATGTCCATTATATCGTATTACGGACAACAAAAACAGCAATTAAACATATCAAAAACAAGTGGCATAATAACCTCTGTTGAAATGAAGATAATTAATTTAAAATTAAAACCTCAGCCTAACATCCTGTCCACCTAAACCTAAAATAATATGGTGAATGTTATGAAAAGTGCTCATGGATTGTAAGGCAAAAAGACCATTAAAAGCCATCCTGAAAAATTCAGTTTTAAGACTGTTTCTGAAGGTAAGAAGGGGATCGTGCTTAGCAAACAGCCACCACAAGATGGAAATGTTTTTTTCAACTTATTTAAAATATTTAAAATATAGTGTGAGTAAATTGTTGTAAATGGTTTTAAGACCATCTGCTTTCTTTTATATTAGCACAACCTGTTCCTCTAACATTTAAGATGGAGGACATGTTGCTCTACTTAAGAGGTCTTGTTCAAATGCAATTCCTGTCAGCCCATCCCATTGGTATGCCCAGTCCGTCTGATAGGAGTTGCAGTCCAATAATATCTGAAGGGCCACATGTCACCTCATTCTGTTCCAGTTTGCACCTCCTCTGTGAAAACTGAACAGAGCTTTGGCACCTCTAAGGATACTCTGCAACCCATTCTCTGCATTCTTTATGAAGATTTAAGTTTCTACACATTTTATGGGCTGATACCTAATACAGTGGGGTCTCGACTTATGAACAGTTCTACATACGAACTTTTCGGCTTACGAACCCGCCCGATAGGAAATTACATCTCGAGTTACGGACAGGAAAAAAAGTGCCCTCTCCCTTCCCTTAGAGGCTTTGGGGGCGAGAGGTCAGAAACTTAAAAGTAAATAAAAGACAGTCACTTACCAGACCTTAGTAGGCCCTGAACTGCAGGAAAAAGAGCAGCAAACTGATAAAAGCCGACACCCAGAAGGGAGCCTGGCAGCCATTTTGTGCTTTTCTCCCGCTCCTGCCCCCTCCGCTCCCTGCCTAACAGCTGATCAGCTGGCTCTGAAGAGGCTTGCTCAGCACCTAAAAAGCCTGCCTGTGTGTCTTTGTGCTGAAAAAATCAGCACAACATGCTTTAAAATATGCTTTAAAATTGGCTTCGTTGGAAAAAAAGATTTCAAAAGTGCTTTTAAAACTTTTCCCTGCCTCACCCCTCCTTTCCTGAACTTTTCTTGACCTAAGGGAAAAAAAGAAAAAAATATCCCCCTCTAGTGGCAGACGTCGGAATAGCAGCTTCCCATTACTTTCTATGGACGGAAAAGAGCAGATACGGATTAAATGGTTTTCAATGCATTCCTATGGGAAATGCAGATTTAACCTACAGACTTTTCGGCTTACAAACTGCCTTCCAATACGGATTAAGTTTGTAAGTCGAGACCCCACTGTATTAATTTCACTGGGCAGAGGTGTTTGAGAATTAATCAAGCATTGCTTTTGAATGAGCCTAATGCATTTGTTCTAGAGCTGCCCCTGCTTGGGCACCAATTTAATATTTTTCTGACGAGTCCAAGCTTCACTAATGGTAAAGATGTTTCATATTTTCTGTTGTCTAAGAAGTCAGACTTACAAAGAAAAAACAAACACATGCTTATACCTTAAGGACCAGTCTCAAAACAAGCTATTTGGAAAGCAGACGTCCAAAGACTTCTGCTGTGATAATCATACATAAAATCAGTCAGGAAATTTACCCTTCCAGTGTCCTGTTATTCATAGTGTGTTGGTCAGCCCTAAATTGGTGGTGGGGATGTGGACATTGTGTTTGAAGGGCTGGTTCTAGAAAATGATGTGGGAGGACTTCTGTTTGTCCCAATGGCTTCTATGTTGTAAAGTCCCACAGGATTCCATTATAATCCCCTATTCCTTTTAACATCTACAGTACCTGAAATTTTGATTGAGGCGATCTATCCATGCTGAATTTGAATTAGGTGCTATAAAGTGCTGATGGAAGAATGCTGTGGAAACCTCAGTATTGCTATTCCCGAAGCCCATTTTAGTCACAGTTGAAAACAAAGAAAATTAGAGTTCCACTGTTAGATATTTGCAAATTAAAATTCAAATGGGAGAAAATTTCTAAAATATTGCCAAGCCTATGCTGCCACATTTTTTTGAGAATACTTCTAAATTTCATTTTAATAACAAACAAAAAACGAGGAACACACACACGTGTCTGCTAGTGAGTATCCCATATCTATGATACTTTTCATACGGAAAAGATGCTTTAAGAATTGCTGACGTCTATGGAACTTTTTTTTAATTGTCAACCAACAGTACATGTGAGGCTATAGATTCATTTGGTACCATAATACTTACTGGTGTTTGGCTTTTCCACAGGAGAAAAGGTGATGCAGGACGATGAATTTACTTGTGACCTCTTCCGGTTCCTTCAGTTGCTTTGTGAAGGGCACAACTCAGGTTTGTTGGCAGAGTGCCAGTAGATAAGCCAGTGCCAGAGTTATAAAAGCTGTGCTTAGAAGATGCTCCTTGAAAGCACTGATGTTCTTAATGAATTCTTCCAAATTGCATGACACCCAGATGGTGGTGGTGGTGGAAAACCCTGAAAAACAGGATAGTTGTGTAAATTTAAGAGCTCGGTTTGCTTACCAAAATTAAGAAACCTGAGATAAGAGGAAATAATGAAATGCTATTTATTTTGTTTCTTTTAATTCCTGTGTTTCAGGAGATGGCAAGGGCAGCCTGTTGGCCTGGTTGGGCATTCTGGGCCTTTTCTTTGTACCCTGCAGTGCCTTCTAGTATTTCCTAGTGCTTCCCAGAATAACTCTTGTGTTGTGTTTTTTTTTAATTGTTGCTTTTTTGCTGCCAACATTTGGTAACAAGCTGCTAAATCTGAAAAGAATCTCATTGAAAGTCTGAATAAATACTTTTTTTAGGTTGAAATGAATGAATGAATTATATTCAATGGATTATCATTTAATGAGTCTGCCTGAAGGAACAAATTGGATTTTCTCAAGAAATGCTTTTTATGAAATAAGAATCAAGTTTTCAATTATTATTTTTATCATGTATTCATAAACCATATGTGCTTATGTTTGGGATTGAAAATTCATATATATTGGAAAATTAGATTTATATAAAGAGTAATATTTAATGCCATAAAATAAATTGTAAAATAATAAACAGCCTCTATGGCCAAATTCTTATCTTATGCTAATTTTGCTTGTTTTGCGTGCTTAATAAAAACGTCTGGGGGGAAGAAGGTAGCCATCTTAATCTTCTTCTTCTTCTCTACCGGTACCTGAATACTAACAAGATAAAGTCTGCAGTGTCTTCATTTATCAGAGATCTCTCCCTGGTTTTCATGCAACTGCTGCTTGGCTGGCTTCCAAGCAGGGTTCCCTGGGGATTTCCCCACAATAAACAATGAAATATTTGTTTCACGTTTAAAACATACACTTGTTTTTACATGTTGCATGCTGTTTTTACATATTCTCATAAATATTACATATTTTTACATTCGAGTATCAAAATGTTGTAATTAATTTAAAAATCAATCAATAAATATATACTAATTAGCATTTTGGTCATAACTTTTCTCACAACTGGATAATCTGAAAAATAGGCCTTGGCACTAGTAAAGTTTATAAAACATACACTTGTTTTTACATGTTGCATGCTGTTTTTACATATTCTCATAAATATTACATATTTTTACATTCGAGTATCAAAATGTTGTAATTAATTTAAAAATCAATCAATAAATATATACTAATTAGCATTTTGGTCATAACTTTTCTCACAACTGGATAATCTGAAAAATAGGCCTTGGCACTAGTAAAGTTTATTTATTTATTTATTTATTGGACTTATATACCGCCCCATAGCGCTACAAGCACTCTCCGGGCGGTTTACAATTTTTTTTTAAATTATACAGGCTACACATTGCCCCGGCC